GTATACATTTTACCTTTTCTGATTGGAAGATGCATCCCACTCGATTGAAGTCGAATTGTTCCTCCAGGAGATGCTTTTTTGGATGCAACAATGGAAGATGCAACTTGTTCAGCTCCTTTAGGATCTGACAATGCCAGTTGCTTCAAGTTTTCATGGCGTGAACTAATTGTGCAATGATGAGAAAGGCCTCGTGAGAGAACAGACAAACATTTTCTACAATGTTTTTCTGAACTTTTAGTTGGCTGACTGGTTGTTGCAGGCTGGTCTTTTTGCTCAAGTGGGTGAGTTTCTTTACCTTTGAGCCTCCCAATTTGGCAGATCAAACAATCACAGGTGTTTGAACTTTGAATTGCCGGTTTTATTTGGATGTCTTCAAACTTGTACAATCTTGGTTTACACGTCTTAGGATTCCCATTGGTGTTTTAAAATACACCAAATACCATCAAGTAACATTTTCTTAACCTTTTGATACTTTTTATATTTAAAAAAGTTGTGTAAACTTGTGTCAGAAAAATTTTTCAGTAAAAGTCACAGCGTTTCATTAAGATAAAACTAATAAGTCAAATAAGTCTTGCGGATGGTAATCCCTGATTTCAAAATTACTTGTTATGAGATCCCTATCATATGTACTAACACCCCTCAAAAGGGTTTTCATAGGAGTTGTTTTTGGTATTAGGGTCCAAAATTTTCAAACTGTGTTTAAGCACAAAAAAGTCTAATCACAAAATTTTCCTTGGATTTAAAAAGAAATATATACATTGTTCTAATAAAAAAGTTTACCTGTTTAGGTATTTAATATTTGCAGATATTTTCCTCTTATTTTTACTTTTTTGTGGCGTTTTATAGTATGGTCGATAGTAAAAGCAGTTAGTCAAAAACCTGAAATATATTTTATATAGGTTAACAAATAAGTCTTTTGGTCAAAAACTTGACATATATTTGTTGCATTTTTTGAAATTAATAGATTAAAACTTTGTGTAAATGAGGTATTTGCATTATTGAATCAGGAAGTCAAAGATTTACAGACTTTGATTTTGATTTACAGGTTTTGTTTTTTGATTAACTTTCATTTGTTTGCATATTAAATTCAATAGTGGGGTACTTTTTAATAGTGGGGTGATATGTATTTTACTAAAGTATATGTATGAATTTACCATGATATGAGTTTCTTTGATAGCAGGAATATTCTCACATTATTATTAATAAATAATAGCATAATCCAGATAAATCCAAAAATATAAATATAAAAATATATTTAGAAGGTTTTGCTTTAACGAACCATTATTTATTCAATCTCTTTGAAAAACACTTTTTTTTTAATATAACCTTATACATACTCTTTGACCAATCATAACCTAGTACTTACACTTTGACCATAAAGTGCTATAAGCTATTTTTTAAAGTTTTTTTAGCAACTAAAAACATGTCTTTTGTTGTCAAAGTTTGGCTTCCAATAAACCTTTTAAGGGACAACTTATATAACTTAATAACTCTTTTCATTGTGCCACCTATTCCATCATATTAACTTTTTACATGTACATTGTCAAAAAAATGGCTTATAGTCTTTCTCCATTCATAAATCAACAGAGGCCATTGTATAGTATTTATAACGCTAAATAATTGCAATTAGAAGTCTAAAATTTCATTTTTACAGTTAAACAATAAAAATCCTCTGCGAAAGTAAGAACTATAATTTAAGAACGGAGAAAAAGAAACTCAAAAACAAACCTTGTTAAACAGAGATATACATTTTGTAAAAAAAAAGTTATCAAGTCTGTTTAAAAAGAGTTGCTTATAACGGAAACAGATTTTATATATTATAATCTATTAGTATATTAACATTAAAGTTAATTATTGATTACCCAGATCTCTATTTAATCGCTTGCTGGTGAACTTTGGCAAGTGATACCTACATTTAAGTGTATTTTTGTTCCCAAGCTCATTCTTATAAAAAGAATGGTTTGCCAAAAATTATAACTATAAATATATAAATGTTTGGAGTAGAGAACTTAGAAAAACTAAAGTTATAAAAATTTTTTTGATCCGCTCATACATGTTATTAAAAAAGCTCTACACAAGCCCATTTCCATTTTAAATGTAAAATTAATAAGTAAATGCAAAATATTGAGCAAGAACAACAACTAAACATATATAAGACCATATATTTCATTTTAGTTTCCATGGATTTTTTTGTTTTTGTTTTAGTAAAAAATGATCAACATGACTAAATAAGTCTAAAAACCTGACCAGACACATCTGTTGATTTATATCAAAATCTCTTTAAGGAATCAATGAAATGACTTTATTCAAATTTTATTCAAAATTACTTTTTTTTAATAAATTTTCTAATAAATTAAGAAAAATGAATAATAAAATTATCTACAATATTTTCTTTGATTTTTAAAAATTTTAATTTTTAGATTTTATTTGTATATCGTTTAAACGCCAATGTTTGGTTTCTTAAGCTTTCAACATCATATCTCAGACATATATAAACGTTTAAATTTTTTTTTTCTAAATTATAGAGACAACTATATTGTTTAATTTATATTGTAAAAATAAAATAAAAACTAGCATTCGATATTTTATTTCAAATGAGAACAGCATGTTTGACAACTGACGTCAGCAGATTTTATTAAAAAATGGCCCCCAGGTTTTGGTTGCTACGTTATCACCGTCATCCCGATTGAGAACCACGTCACCATTTCTCAACTCTTGTTGAACCCTAGCCTTGCTTATTTTGAGTGATTCACTAATTTTCCGAGTTCGATATTCTGGGGCTACAGATAATGTTTTGGATTGCAACCAATCAAACTTACCATGGCATGTTTTAGAATGCTCAGTTGCACCCGAACTGAACCATTTTCCTTTTAAGCTGTTTTTTTGGTGTTCAATAAATCTCGATATCACCTTCTTTTTAGTTTCGCCAATGTATATCGAACCGCATGAACAGATTTGAAGATACGAAATGCGAACTCAAAAAATCAACTCGTTTTTCTTCAAAAGTGCTCCAATAACATAACTCCAAAATCTTTTAAAATAAAAACTCCAATTCATACTAAAAAAGTAAAAAACATAATGAAGGAATACAGTAACAAACTACTAGTTCATGCTCGTAACGAAGCCAAACACAGATTATATTCAAGTAAGAAATTAATTAATGAATTAAATATATTTCTTCAGACAAAAGTAAGGTTACACAATTATGAATTAATTAACAGTATAACCAACAAATCAAAAATTACCATTACATTAAGAAAAAAATGGAAATGAAAGAAAAATATCATAAATTACAAATTACACAGATTATAAAAAATACTTTTAATCCTCCCAATCAAGTTATTAAACCTGCTATACTCAATTTAACTAATGTTACTCTGGATAAATCAACAACTGAGCTACTCAATTTAGGTCCAAATTTTGTACCACTGCCGGAAAAAAACTCACTATATGGATATTATAACTAATATCGAAACTTGCGCTTTACAACTTGAAAAACTTAAAAAACCAACACAGGCAGAAACTCTACAAAACTGTTCACAAATTTTAACGAATTCGCTAAAGTTTAGATTAAAAGATAATTTAACTAAGCAACAACGTCTTTCCATAAACAAATTAAAAAACAATTCTAACATTAAGATATACCCTTTCGATAAAGGCACAGGTTTCGCATTATTAAATCAAAAAGATGCATCTCTCAAATTAGAAGAACAAATAAAAAATAGCAAAATTATTGATTATGATCCAACATCCACATTGACTACTAAATTTCAAAGACAATTGTGCAAATTAAGAAAAGAAGGTAATTTAGAAACAAATACATACTTTAAAATGTATCCATCAGATTGTAACCCACCACGAATTTACGGAATGATTAAAGCTCACAAACCAGAAAAAAATTACCCAATGCCCCCTGTTGTATCAACAATTAACACACCACCTTATGGAACATTTGGTAATCTTGTTAAAATTATTCAACCGACTCTGAACAAAAATAAAAGTAGACTTATGAATTCTAATAGTTTTGTAAATGAAGCTAAGCAATGGATAATAGATCCTAACGAAGCTCAAGTTTCATTTGATATAGTCAATTTATATCCATCCATACCCATTGACGAAGCAATTCCGGTTATCATTGATATATTGAATGCTGACATTGATGACTTAAAAACTCGAACTAAACTTACTCTTGCCGACATACATCAATTAATTGAACTTTCATTAAGTATATGCTATTTTTTATATGAAAACAATATCTGAATAATACCTAATTCAGGTCATATAGGTTTATCTTTAATGGTTGTTATGGCGGAAGCGTTTTTACAAAATATAGAAAGAAAAGCCCTTAACATAGCAATTATTCATACATCCGAACCAAAAACTTACAAGAGATATGTAGATGATTGTCATGCTCGCTTTGCTTCAATAAAACAACAACAAATGTTCCTGAACATCCTTAATGAACAACATCATGCCATAAAATACACAGTGGAACTTGAAAACGACCTCAAACAACTCAATTTCCTAGATATTAACATTACAAACACAGGCTCTGTAACTTAAGAATTTCAAATACATAGAAAAGAAGCTATTACAAATGTTCAACTTAAACCTAACTCGAACATTAATCCTAACATTATTAATGGCGTTTTCAAAGGATTTTTATGTCGTGGTAAAAGAATATGCTCTCAAAAGCACCTTCAAAAAGAAATTGATTTTCTAATAGACATCTTTGTTGAAAATGGCCACGACAAGAACATTCTAAATAATATTACTATAGGCTATTTAAAAAACGGTTCAAAAAACACCACATTTCAACAAATAGATACCCAACCCTTTATAAAACTACATTGGATACCAATTGATGGTCCAAAACTTCGTAAAGAATTTCGAAAGCTAAACATAAAGATTATTTTCACATCAACTCCCAATTTAAAAAATATTTTCTGGAACAATAAAACTAAACTACCACTAAACACAGACCTTGGCGTATACCAGCTAAAATGTTCATTTTCTTGAAATATATAAATATATATATTTCAAGAAAAACAAAATTTGAAGACCAGAAACTTTCGCGAAATTTTCAATTCGCGATCACTTAATTCGCTCCTTGTATATATATATATATATATATATATATATATATATATATATATATATATATATATATATATATATATATATATATATATATATATATATATATATATATATATATATATATCAAGGGGTGAATTAAGTGATCACGAATCGAAAATTCCGTAAAAAATTCTGGTTTTTAAATTTTTAGTTTCTTACGAATGGTCCGAAAAAAACGCGCAAAAATGGTTTTCAAGAAAAACAAAATTTGAAGACCAGAAACTTTTGCGAAATTTTCAATTCGCGATCACTTAATTCGCTCCTTGTATATATATATATATATATATATATATATATATATATATATATATATATATATATATATATATATATATATATATATATATATATATATATATATATATATATATATATCAGAAGTTTATGTTAGCTGTATATTCTTTTATTTTTTGTAGGTGTACTGATCTTATCATTGATGGCTGACTTTTTGTGGCAGGCAGATTGCATAGCACCAGATATTTCTAAAAGATGTTATAGCCAGTTTGGAGATCATCAATCCTTACATGCTTTAGAAGTGTTTGAAAAACAAAGGTTGCTTCCGTTAACGTCGTCGCCTTCCAATAAATGTTGTGAGCCTGTAAATAATGATATAACTCGGTGGAAATGCTCGCGTGAAAAATGTATATTTTGTGGTTTAGAAATAATTTTGGACTCTTTAAATCATGCTATTTGTCCAAATAAACATTGTAGCTTAAGATGCTCGTTAACGCTTCAAGTTTGTATAGCGAGCACTTACCGTAAATGTGCTGGTTGTAACAGAATAGCATTAGATAAAGTTTTAGACGGACAGCTGAGCCTGGAAGCCATATTTTTAAATGTCGATGTGTGTCCATATTGCGGTTGTAAATTTGTCTATTGTAATAGTAAGCAATAATAATAATGATTTTTAGAAATTTAATTAGAATTACGTTTGTGACGCGGTTATCCTAAATCAAGTAAGAATTTAGTAAAAATCGCGTTAATGGTGTGTTTTGGTTTAAAATTTATGACAAATGACAAGAATTACATTAAAAATGCATAGGTCAAAAAATATGGGAATATGTATAGTTTATTAACTATACATATTCCCATATTATTTTCCATATTAAAATAAAATACCAAAATAGTTTTTTATACTGTTGTTTTTTAACATAAGAAGAAAAACGAATTATAAATACAAAATTTTAATTTAACAATACTTGGTTATTTTATGTATTTATATCAATAATAACCTTTTTATGTTATACTATGTTTTGCTATTAATAGTTTTTTTTTCCTCAACAAAAATTATTTAAATATATCAAAAATAAGTAATCGGAATAATTTCGATATATTATTTTTTTGGTTGGAAAATAAATAAAAAGTTAATGGCTTTATTTACTTACGATCACCACGAATAACCCTTGATTAGAGGCCATCCATTAAAAAAGTCATTCAAAAAGGAGTGGGGAGAGGGGATTGGGGAGATTTAAAAAAAAAGGACAAGTGGAAGAGACGTGTTTATCGGAAAAGAACGTCAGTTTATAGAATTTTTTAGTTTTAATAACATGGAAAACTATGTAAACGTGTGATTTCATCAGGTTAACGTTAGAGAATGTAATTTTTTATATATCGTGTTTATATGTATTAAAGAAAAAAAACTCATGTTAGAATTCGTTTAACTAATTTGCGTATAAATATATTGCAATTAGTTATGCACTGCTAAACTGTTTGTTTGTCCTATCTCAACTATCATAAGTTGAAAGCTGCGGCTTTTTAATAAACTCAAGTCATAGCCGTCTGTATTAACAGGCCTCGTAAATGCGTAAGTGGCTTGGGGCCAACAATATTTATAGTTATTTTTGTTTAATAAATGCAAGCGATGTCTTTACAAATTTTTAATTAAAGTACAACTATTATCTAGTTTATAGGTACAAAAAATGCCTTTAAAATGTTGTGTGACGAACTGTAATGGTAATTATAATAAGAAAAATTTTAATTTATTAATTACAATAAGTAAATTTTTATTAATTACTATAAAAAAATTTTTTTCCGGGTTTCTTATGACAAAGAAGAATATACTCGTTTGGTGAATGCTGTACCACGAGACGATATACCTGAGAGTCTAGATGCAGTTGTTTGCAAAAGACACGGCGGACGTGTAATTTATAGAGTCCGTCAAAAACGAGTCACATTTTGCGCATAACATTTATTAAAAATTGTACTCTAACCCTGAACCCTAAGTTTCAGGTTTAGGGTATGGTTTTTAACAATACTCGTTTCATATAAGACTTTTTACGGGCTTACTAAAAGAAGGGTGCCTGAAATACACGTCCGCCAAAGACACTTTCCATCTGGATATCCAACAGTAAAATAATTTGGCAATAAAAGGCCTTGTTATCCTCCATCAGTTTTTACATATGTCAAACTTAGTTTAATACTTACTCTTCAACATTTAGAACATTCATTAATTCTTCCACATTCAGAACATTCATTCACTTTTAAAGCATTCTCATCTGTCCAAAACATTTTGCGGGACGAACTTAATATACTTTTAGATGCTGATAAAATTACATCCTTTTACTCATTACATCAAAATAAAGATTTTGATTTTGGTGTAGTTAATGTGACTTGGTATTTAGCTGATGAACAATTACTGATCTTTCAGTCAACAAACTTTGAATAAAACTCTTCAATTGTTAAATTTATGCTTAAGATCAAGAATTATTAGCTTTTGAGGGATACTTTTGTGGGATTAAACATAAAATTGAATCTCTATCTGAAAATATGATTTTCATAATCAATTCTTGCTCAAAATTACAAGAAGCTATTAAATTTTTAAACGAATTTACAAAATCCAATAAGATAATATATCTCTTGCAACACATCCATGATATAAGTTCTATTAAAGTTGGAAAACTTTATCTTTAATATGGAAAAGAAACATCCTTATTACACAAGTATCCGTATATATTTCAATAAAACAAAATTACATATTTTTATATATAAGTACAAAACGTACAATTAAACAATTTTTGTACCATTAAAATTTTTACAAGACAAAAGAAATTCAAAATTCTGTTTAGCGCATGCGCGTTGTACTGTGTACAAAATAAAGTAACTATTCGTTGTTTATAATATAAAGTGCTGGCTATTAACCCATGCATTTAAAAAAATATATGCAAGTCCGTCATACCACAGGGACTTGCTTGTGGACGTTGTTGAATATATATATATAAAATTATTCTTAAAAAAATATTTTTCTTTGTTGTAAGGAAACTCGCAGAAGAATAAAATAGTCTTTTCATCGACAACCTTTGAAACATAAAATAAACTTTAATGAACTAGTTCAACAAATACAGATAAGTATTTTAGTATCTACTATATAGTGGATGTAGTAGGGCTTTTTATTATTACTATTTTTCCCAAACTGTTTAATACATTTCGATGAAGTTGGTTAAGTTAATTATGATATGTTTTAGTTTTTTTTTCAGAGCAATAAGGTTATCCATTTTATTAAGTTCCATATTTTGAAGTATTATTTTGTTATGTAAGTATGGGCCACGGTATATTAAAGAAAATCGCGAGAATTTTGTATTTTTTAAAGGCAAGGTGAAGTTGCCTGTTCCTCGTGTGATATATTTGTTTGCGTTGATATGAAAAAAGCTATCAGTAAAGTATTTCGGAACAAATCCGAGTTTGTATTTTAGCATGAATAAGATATTTGGTAAATATTTATTTGATAGATATTTAATGCATTCAAATTTTTAAGTAAAGGGTGGGCATGAGTGAATTTATCTTTATTATAAATTAATTTTGATGCATGTTACTGATGTATGTAGAATGAATTTAATTTAGTTTTATAGGTACTTCCCCATGCAATATTAGCGTATGTTAGGTAACTTTGAATATAAGGAGAGAAGAGAATTTTTAAGTTGTCTTGGGAAAACATAGAAAAGCATAGAAAAGCTTGGGAAAGCATAAAAAATTTGTTTCAAATGATTAAAAAATTTTGTTATATCACCATCAGGTGGTCTATAACATGTGGAGACTAATATGTTTTTTGATTTGTTATTTGTTGTTATTTCAATTGTAAAGACCTCACTATCGGCATCTGAGGTAGAAAGGTCATCATTTGGTGGCTTGATCAGTTCGAATATAGTTAATAATTCCCCCTCCCCTTTTGTTAGTTTTTCTTTCAGAAGATATTAATTTGTAATTAGGAATTTATTCTGGACGATTCGTCAGAACACCATGTCTCGGTTAAACAAATCATACTGAATAAATAATTGCATTCGGTTAGAAATTGCTTAAGCTTATCAATGTTGCTGTTTATGCTTCTTATATTTATGTGTAATGCAGTGAATTTATTTTAAACATGTAAAAGTTTTCATAAAATGAGTTTATTTATATGCACCAAGGTCATCTAAAGAGTCACAACAAAAGATTTCGAAGCTTTCAAAGTAAATCTATTGTTTGTGTTTTTTTACTTATGACAACTCTGGTGTTACTTTATTTTCTGTTTGTTTTGTGATTTTGGTAAAATATTTAGCGTTTTAAACATATCTATGAAATATTTTGAAAACTTTGTTACAAATTTTGTTGTTACTATATATGTTCAATTTATAGTTTTTTCAAAACTTCAGAATTTTAAAATATTTTTAAAATTCTGAAGTTTTGAAAAAACTATAAATAGAAAAAAAAAATTTTTTTTAATTTCATATTTTTTTTGTGACCTCTGTGTGATTTTGCAATGTTTTTTTATCTTTTTAATAAGCTTTTTATGAATAAATAGGTTTTAGTTACTAAATAAAATAAATAGATCAGCTGCAGCTCACTCACAATATACAGAAACGCTCTTTTACAAAAAAATGTTTCATGCTACACTTAACTTTTCCTTAGTTGTTGTTATTTTTCATTGGCCCCCAGCCCCAGGCTCTAATCAGAGGTCCGAGGTTCGACGCCAGGTCCAGCCCAACAAGCGACATTGGTACGGAAGGAGGCGTGAACTTCCCCTTAAATGCTCTTCCGCGGTGCTCTATGATAAGACCGTAAGGACTTCTGGGAGCACCTAAATACATACAAAAAATTTACACATTAGCGAGGCCTGTTTGTAAGACGGCTATAATTAAAAGTGCCAACTCTTCGAAAATAGTTTCGTTATCATTAAAGATTATCTAAAAAAAGCATTAGAAATATTTGTTTAAAGAGAATTACTTGTGTAGCAACCATTAATAATTGTTTAAAGCGAATATTACTAATGATCATTTGTAATATTTGTTTCTATTGGTTGCAACCAATAAAAACTATTTGTGTAGTATTAGATATTTTATTTTTTTAAAGTTTGGCGCGTTAAACATCATTGCTGTCTGTTGGAACCTTTATGTCAAAACTTTTTTTCCAAAGAGCAAATCAAGGTTTTGCGTCTTTAATAAAATCCTGACCCGAATATAATAAGGGCTTGAATATCGAATTCGTTTTTAATAGTGATAAGTTATAACAAGTTTTGCTACAATATATTAAAAATAATTATATGATATAATGTACATAATAAATATTTATCTATCGCAAATTATTATATAGTAAATGAGTATAAACGGTTAAAATAAATTTATGTTTTTCGGGTCTTGATTTAAAAAAAAACGCAAAACCTGGATTTTCTCATTAGAAAAAAGTATTGACTGAACTTTCATTTGCACGTCATTATTTCAATGTCTTAGTCAATGCTATTTTAAATTTGCTCATAAACTCTTATAACAACCTTCATCCGTCTAAGAAAAATATGGAAAGAAATCAAATAGCAGCAAGATTTAAAAGTCTAAATAAAAATATACCCAAAAACAAAATATACCTATATGGTCTTGAAACAAAAGTTTCTTTAATGTTATTTTGAGCCAAGCAAAGAACTAAAAAATTTGTTCTTTCCACTGCCAGTTTTTCCACCTAAGGGAGTTAGCCCGATTCAAAACAATTTATTGAGTCGATAATGATTACGTTGATACTACTTCTGATGCTTCTCTACTCGACTACCCCAACACAGTTCGAATTGAGAAAAAGAAGGCCAAGACACATGATCAAGACACAATCAATCGGAGCTCGTCGTTTTAAATCAAGAAATAGTTGCTATGAAGAGCAGAAAAATGTTTATGAAGAAATTTAAAAATAAATTTTTTATTAAGAGCAGAAATATTTTTTACTATGGACCGATGCTAAAAAAGAAACTATTAAAAATAAAAAAACTAATTTACCTGAACAAGTTGATTGGCAATATGAAGTCAAAACAAAAATTAATGGTCAAAAAGAAAACTTTCATGAATCAGGTAATATTATCGCATTACCGTAAAATCACTTAATTACAGATGATACCTAAGGATGGTTTTTTTAAAAGCTATGTATTGTTTACATTATATCGAATTTATAATTTTTTTTTTTTTTTTGATAAATAAATTTAAACACAAGGCAAATTGAACAATAAAAAAACAACTCAAAAGTATATTTACAAATGTGTAAGCTTTAACTTAAAATCTAAGAAAATTAAATTAACAAAAAAATGACAAAAAAATAACTTAGTTTTGCAAATAAAACTGAAAATTGTTTAAACACTATTTTGTTCCAATTTTGACATTGATTAATGTTATGCAAAAAAAAAATTGCAATAATGTTAATATTTCTTTAAATATATTCAAAATAAGTCAAAAACAAGCACACACAAAAAAAGATACCTGATTCCGAATACAGGTAATTATTATTTATTCATGCTTAATTCTATGTAAAATGTGTTAGTTTAATTCCGAAGACAATATCCTGCCATGTTTAAAAATCTTATCGAAAAAAATTCATTTAAACCTGAAAATGGCCGTAGTGGCTTTAGCAGTAGTGGTTTATTTCCACTTGATCGATCGAAAATTTCTTTTAAAAAAACTGCAATAAGCAAGGTTTTTGAAGCTGTTGAAGATGAGAACAATTATAGTTTATTTCAGGCTCTAACCAACACTCCTAAAACACCATTAAATAGAATGTCAAACCGAAAAATGTTACTTAGAAGTTTAGATACGATAAATGAAACAGTTAAAAAAAGCCGGAAAAGACATTAACCAATCAGTTTTAATGATGCTCAAAGATCAACATACACCTTTAGATAATAGAAAAGAGAAAAGCAAAATAATTAAACGGCCAGCCAATTATATGACCTCAGCTGATATATATAGCTTTTAACGGCTATAGCTTTTAACGAAGCCGAACAAGAGTCGAAAAAACAAAAACTAGACAAACAAGCCGCCAAAAAACTATCTAGAGAAAAAAATAATATTGCTGCTGCGTCTCAAAAAAAAGAAAATGCAAAAAAAAAACTATTAAAAGCAAGTCTAAAACAAGCCAAAAGCTTGTAAAATAACAGTTTGGTTAATTAATTTAATGAGTTTATATGTGTTTTTTCTTTTTTGTATATATCCGGAATTAGGTTAATACTACTCTTAATACTCTTAATTAAACTTAAGTTTTTAAAAACAAGTTTTTTAAAAACTTAAGTTTAATGAAATTTAAAATTAAAATAATATTATTTTTTTTTATCGTTTGATTCGTCTTGTCGCTGCACATATTTTAGTGTTTTTATTTTTTTTTTATTAGTTATCATAAGCAAGATATTTAATGTTTACTTCAAAACGTCTGTAACTAGGTGGTTTTAAGGTATATAATGCAATAATATTACCTTGTGTTAAAGTTACAATAATAATTCTTGTGAACATGAACAATAGTTAATTGTTTAAGTTCTTTTCAGTAACATTATTTAACAATAGTTAAAGCAATAAAAATTATAACAGTAATTACTTTTAAAATTTTTTTTCGGTACCATTAGTGACAAGATTGGTTGCGCTGCTATTGAAGTAGTGATTTATAAACTGAAGTGTGATTTATAAGTCAAGACAATAAAGCTCCTATGTGATGCATTTAGAATATCTGGGTTTTTCTTCCTGATCACAATTGGGTCAAAGCATAAGCTCATTCCGTCCGTTTACACAGGCATTGCAATCAAACCAGATAAGCTTGGAAAACCTGACGAAGTCTTCTATTCCGGTACCACTTATGTTGCTATTTGATTTGGAAAATATTCATCAACGACGGATTATGCTCACAGATTAGACTTTGAGCAACTTTTGACTGATGATGGAATCAAACTTTAATTTTGAAAACTTTAACCTAGTAGGTCAAGCTAGTAGTTGTCATCAGTGTTGATGGTGGACCAGATGTTATTAACAAACATTATTTTAGTTTATGGAAAATAAAAAAATTAAAAAAAAAAGCATGCACAATTTTATTTATAATGAAATCATTTGCTTTAAACTTACTAAAAGCAGAAAAGAAACTAAGCTTAAACATTACCATATATTACCATATAATTTTTAATTCTTTTATTGAAGAAAGCGATATCGCTTTCTTCAATAAAAGAAAGCAATTAAATTGTTTAAGGACGGTTTCTTTTGAAGTTTTTGCAAAAGGATGTATTTTAACTAAAATTATCATATTTTTGTGAGCGCATGCAAAAACCATGCTAAAACATAAATACCTTTTTTTATTTATTTTACTTAAAAGTAACGCTTTTGAAAAAAGTAAATATGTTTTGGCATTTTTTAAAAAGTCTCTGTGCTTAATTTTTTTTCATTTTAAATATGTGTTTTTTGTAATAAATAAAAAACTATTGATCGCAAAATTATTTTAAAAAAATTGCTGAAGTAACGCGTTTGTTTTGAAAAATCTTTATCAAACGGCAACGTTTGCATAAGCAAAATTAAAGAAACGTGATGTTTGCTTAAAGAAATGAGCGCACATTTGTCGATTTGTTGAACTTTTTAATGAAATTTTAAATTTGCACCACAAAATTTTATTAAATTTCATGACCCTTTCCCTCACTACGGATCCGTCCTTGTATTAGCCTATTTATTCATGGGAAGCAATGCTAAAGATTATTAGAGCTGTGTTTTTTTCACTTTTGCTTCCAATTAAATTTAAATTAATAAATATGTGTTTTAATTTTTTTTCTGGTTTTTCCTTTATTCATTTTATCGTTCTTTAATTATTTTACTTTTTTAGGTTTTTTGTTATTTTTGTTGTTTTATTTTAATTTGCTTTGTTTTTTTTAGCGCAATTTTTAAATGCGCTAATTATCAAAACTTGCAATGAGCCGTGGTCAAGTTGTTAAACAAAGAACTATATGCGTGGTCATATAAGGCGTGCGATCGCACACCTCTTACGAGAAGACTTGATTTATGTTTCTTTTAACTTATATATTATTTTTATTTACACTAGTTCATTATTTTCTTACAAATGATTTGTCATCTAATCGTTTTTGAGAAAATGATGAATTTGCCAAGTATATCGATCCAGACGAAAAGTGCATGTGTACAATCTATTTTTTCCTTAAATGTCCGGGACGACTCGACTTTCCCCAACAGAAAAAATAATGGCTTGAGTTTTTTCGTCTTAGCTCAGAGACCAGATATTTTGATAGAAACAATTCGTGGTCCCCAGCAAGCACAACCATACGGGACCCAAACGGGAACCATCCGGGATGTCAAACGGGAACCGTGCGGGATTTACATGGGAACCATACGGGCTAAATAAAAAAAAAACGAAAATCGATCGCCTGCTTTTTCATTTCTCCCGCATTGATCCCAGATTTTCCCCGAATGTATTTTGTATTATTTATAACTGTGATTTTTATACTTTTATTTAACGATTACTTGTTTAAAGCAATTTTTTCATTTTCTTTGAAAGCAAAACGTTTTAGCACGTTTATATACAAATTGAAAACACAAGTACATGTGCATGTATGTTTTATTAAATAAAATAAACTATTATTAAATATGTAATCAATATATATATGTGTGTTCGTTGCTGCATTCGATATATATACAATGTACATTAAACATTCTATATGTTGTTTTCCGTGTTTGCTCTCGAGCATTACCAAACCAAGCGGAAAGTGCTTCTTCAAGAAGCTTTTTTGATAAATTTTGTTTTGTTTCATAGTTTCTTTCTGCTGCACCTAAACATACAACATTAGTTGAAATAAATTTCATTAGCTTCTAAATCAATACATACTTTTATATTTTTGTGGCCACCTTAAACCATACTTTTCATTAATCCTATAAATTGTCATTTTTTTAGACGCTTAAATTCCTAAATATTTACAAATATTGAAAATATGAAAAAAATTATCAATGACACAAGATAAGAGCCATCCATAAAGAACCTTTTTTAGGCATTTTTTGACCCCCATCCTTGGTCACCGGTTGTACTTTTTTCCTGTACCCCTACGCTTGAAAAAGACGTCACAAAATCGATACCGCCCCCATTATTTTAACCGGAAAAAAAATTATTTGATCTTACAATGATGCTTGACACTTGTCCTACACCTTTGAAAAACAAAATTAAAAATATTATTTCAAATTATCTTCATAAAAACACATATTTACATTTTTTCATGTTTATGTTACAGTTTTTCATGTTTATAAAATTGAAATAAAAAATCTATAGAGTGATGTCCTTTTCTGACAACCTCCCTCCTCCGCTCTTGTGTCTTTTTAATCTTGACCCCTACCACCCTACTTAGATGACATTCTTTATGGATGGTCCCCTAGGGTAAAAGTACTAATAATTTTTTTGCTATGAAAATAAAGAAATCAATACCATTAAGAATTGCAATCCCACACTGCAAGATCTTGCATTATTTGAACACAGGGGAAACACTACGCCACAGATTTCTGCTGGATCATCGCCAGTCACTGGTAAAATAAAAATGAATAGCAATGCATTTATTCTTAATCTCTGCTCAATTGTCAACAATATGTGGCTTATGTAATTTATGTAATATAATTTATATATGTCCACAATTTAGACAATTTACAAACTATCAGAGATTAAAAATGCATGCACTGTATTCTACTTATATTTCCCACCAAATTGGCACGGATCCATAATTAATTTGTGGCGAGGAGCCATCAGTACTCTGAGCGGGACCTCGCATGCGCTGAAATAATGCGGGATCTCGAGGGCAGGATTGCAATTCCTACCATTAATTCAAGAAGAAAATAAAGAAAGTATAATATATATCATATTATGATATGATTTATATATATATATATATATATATATATATATATATATATATATATATATATATATATATATATATATATATATATATATATATATATATATATATATATATATGTATATATATACATATATATATATCATATATGATATATATTTCATATTATGATATAGCAACTATACCATACTTACAAAACATTACTTGAAATAGCTGCAATGGCTGAAATGGTTTTTTATTTTTCTGACCAGTTAGGTTATATTTTCGTGCCAGTTCATTAGAAAATAAAAATTTGATATTCCTTCTTACAAAATTTGTTATATTCATACCACCATTATTTACAAGGACCTGAACCTGGTGAAAAAAAAAAAAAAAGTAAATTCAAAACTAGTTATTTTTTTATTATTTAGGGCAAATAGGGCAAAGTGACCTAACAATGGCCGGGTCTTGCATCCAATGACTGAGGAAAAACTTGCAAAGTATTCTATGCATCGATGGAGGGTTGGGGCAGGGTTAAGGTTAGAGTTATAATAAAATAAATAAATAATCAATAAATAATAAAGTTTCAATATATATATTTTTTATTAAATAAATAAAAATATGAAGTATTGTATAATAAAATTCAATAAAAATAATAAAAATCACTTCAAAAAGGATAATATATATCAAAATATTTAACTTAAAAATGTACATATAAAAAAAAAGAAAAAAAGACATAATATAAACCTATACTTTATTTGGTATATATTCAATGCAGGAAAAACCTTAAATAATAAGTTTACCAATTTTTTTTTAACATCTTCATCTTTCAACCTATCTTCAAAAGCTTCGACATCTTCAGTTGTTTTAAGTGGTAAGTTTAATTCAATTTCATCCTCTGTAATGCCATGCGTTGAATTAATTTGTTGCTGAATGCTGTGCAACATAGCTGAATGCAACTTTTGCGTCTCTCTTATTTTTCTTGAGATGCCAAAATTTTCAACAACAATTTTTCTGCTTATAATGTAAAAATGAAGCAATTATTAAAAACCAATATAAAAAAAAAATTAATAATTCAAACAAAGGGTGGAGGGTGGAGCAATTTTCACAGCAAAAAAAAGAGTTTAAAAATAAACATTCCTGAGACGCGAATCGATCTTTATTAATTATAAGAAAAAAGTAAACAAATACTTTCCAATTATGATAAGATTTTAAGGTTCCTCTTTGGATTCTAAATTCTCGGAATTCCGGTCCTAATATTTTTGATTTTTTTTTCCATAAACCATACTTTATACTCAAAACAAAAAGAAAAATGATTGTGTTATAAATAATTATTTGGTTTAAAAAAAAAGAGTTCATAAAATATTTCCAAAATATACTTGAAACCCCTGTTTCGTTGAAGACGTTTTTTTTTTTGAAAAAGACAATTTTCTATTCCTTTAGTTTTAAATAAAAACAAATGTTATTGTGTATACATTTATATGTATATAATATTGTATATATATTCAAAACCAGCAATTTCTTTTGAGTACTAAGTTGATATAGTTTAGAAGAAAAAAAAAAGGAATCTCAAAGTAACTTAACAAAGTAAAATAACAAAAATTTGCAGCAGTGTAGCGCAGTGGTTAGCGCACTTGTCTCAGAGTTTAGAGATCCCAGGTTCGAAACCCACCTCTGGACAAGTTTTTTTACATCGGTTATAAAGGAGGTGTGAACTTTCTATTAAATGCTCTTCTCCGCTGTGCTCTGTGATAAGACTGTAAAGGACTTCTTAGGGCACCTAAAGCAAATACTAAAAAAAAAAAAAAAAAAGAACTAATTAAAATTACAAAAAAAGTAAGGTTCTTTTTTCACCAAAAGACATAGATTCTCAGCTCAGGCAAATCAAATTTCAAAAATTTTAAAAATCGCTTCACACTATTGGATACTATTTTGATTTACTTTTGATTGACATCATATTGTCATATACTTTTAAAAAATAAGTAGAAGGAAAAATGTTGGTGATGTATTTTGTTAATTTAGTATCTTACCAGATGTAGTGTAACCAAACGTTTTTAACAATGGAGTACTTGTGTTACCAGGAAGACCAGACATATCTTTTGACTTTACAACACTTTCTGACTGTAAATCAAAAGTTTTATTTTGTCTGTGCTGAACTTCCTTTTCTTAAAAAAAATAATAAAGAACGATATTGAATGATAATATTAGTAGCAGTTTAAAATGTTACAACAATATAAACTTTACCTGACGATTCTGTGCGTACCACAGGAGTTAACAATCCACTGTTTTCAATCTCAAAATGACAAACCCCTAATAACCCAAAATCAATACTGTTATTTAATTTTTCATAGTCATTAGTATAGGTACAGTTTATTTCTTATTTATATGATTAACAATGTTAATCATATCAATGATAATCAATGAATGAAATCAGTTTTCGATTTACAAATATGGTTTATAAATAGTTAAATTTAATTATATGTTAAACATATAATTAAATTTAACTATTTATAAACCATATTTATAAATCAAAAACTGATTTCATTCATGCAATGATAAATTATTTTATTGACAATTATCAAATTAAACCACTAATTTAAGAAGTAAAATTTGTTTCCTACCCGACTGTCTCTCTGGTATTACAGGCTTAGGAAGCTTTTCAGATATCTTTTTTTTCTTTCTTCTATAAATAAAAAAAATAAAAAAATAACTATTTAATTTAAAATAAAATAGGAAAGAACAAACAACAGACAAAAACAAACAAATAAATTTTGTGAAAAAAAGAAAAAGAAAAAACTACATGAAAAACAAACAGAACACCTATTGCTGTATTTACTTTCTGAATCTCAGTACTTTCAATTAAATCTTCTTTGCTGTTTACAATAAGAATAATGTTTAAAAAATATATAGAGGTAAATTAATATTAAATCAAATTTTTTAACAATAAAATTTAGAATAATAATTTAGTAAATCGAGCCATATAAAATAGCTTACACTTTTCTTTTTTGCTTAGTAAAGTTCTCTTCGACATTAGAGGTCTCTTCTGCAATTGTCACCTTTTCACAGGCTTCTTTCTTATTACCTACCATATACATTCCAAAAATAATATTATTGAACTTAGCTTATATACAAATTGAATTGTAGTTAGTATAATGTTGCATAAATTTCATTACTAAATCATATTTGTATTATAAACAGCAAAGTTTACCTGCAACTGCTAACAATCGAATAGAGTATGTTTTCCAATCTATTTCAGGTTCAGAGCACTGCTTTTGTGCTCTACTGACTTTGCCTGAATTTGACCATGGAGGCCAGTAGCATTTTAGTTCTATACGCTGCCTAACCAACATTGAAACTTCTTGAAGTTCAATTTTATTGATTATCCAATTGAAAGGAATGTATTCAGTTTTCATCTCGTTGTCAAAAACCACAATAGCATACATTCCAGTGATTATTTAATAACTATAAAACTTATATAACTAAAATTAATTTTTAAATACTGTGAATTATTTTTAAAAGTTAACATTCAAAGCAACGTAATAGACATTTATATATATATATATATATATATATATATATATATATATATATATTATATATATATATATATATATATATATATATATATATATATATATATATATATATATATATATATATATATATATATATATATGTATAATATATATATATATATATATATATATACATATATATATATATATATATATTGGGTATATATATATATATATATATATATATATATATATATATATATATATATATATATATATATATATATATTAAAAGAAAAAAATATTCAACAATGAGAGCAACGTAATAAACATTGCATATATATATATATATACACTTTATAACTAATATTACAAATTAGTGGTACTGATGTGATTAAACATCTAAAAATATAATAATGTGAAAATTAAATATAAAAAAAAACAAATACAAAATTTCAAAATAATTCAATAATGCAATTTTTAAATACTATGAAATAAATATAATTTTTTTTGTAAACAAAGAAATAATGAATTACTTTTAAAAGCTAACATTCAAAGCAACGTAATAAACATTGGGATTATATATATATATATATATATATATATATATATATATATATATATATATATATATATATATATATATATTGGGTATATATATATATATATATATATATATATATATATTGGGTATATATATATATATATATATATATATATATATATATATATATATATATATATATATATATATATATATTCAAAGAAAAAAATATTCAACATTGAGAGCAACGTAATAAACATTGCATACATATATACACTTTATAACTAATATTACAAGTTAGTGGTACTGATGTGGTTAAACATCTAAAAATATGATAATATGAAAATTAAATATAAAAAAAAACAAATACAAAATTTCAAAATGTTTCAATAGTGCAATTGCGGCATTACAATAAATCCATTTTTATACGGTAAACAAAGACATTTTTTCACTGTGTCACTTAGCGGCAAACACTCATATAAACCATTAGTTCTCTCAACCATATAAATATTTAACTTCTGAGAATCACATGGATCTTTAAAAAAAGATTCTTTGTAAGCAAACGCCTCAAAAAGAATATAATCATTATCATTGGTGGCAGTTGGTTTTAAAATATTTTTAACAATTCCAATTTTACCACATATTTTGAAGCAATTATCTCTGACACTGTTAGACATAAAATACTTTTTGTTCTGATACTGTTTGAATTGAAGATAATGGCTCAGAGTAATATTTACAGGACCTTCAGTGTGCAGTTTACTAAAACCAACAGAATGAATACGCTGACAGGTATAAAAATCTGCATTTTCAAAAAATCTGCATTTTCAAAAATTCTTTTGGCAATTTGTGAACAAGGTGACTGGGCCTTGCGAACAAGCTTTTTTAATTGACCAAGATAACTTTCATATTTGAAGGACGAGCAATTATCAAGAGCACCATAGTGTTTTGCATCATCAGCTAAGTGTATTAATGAATGAACATTGTATACTAGCTGATCTCTACTGTACAACTCTTCAAAAGTCTGCACAAAATATTGTAACAACTGACCAGCATACCCAGCATAATGTTTAAGTAAAGAAGAACACAACAAATTCCTTACAGCAACAGATAAGTCAATAAAATTTTGATAATGATTTGGTAACAGCAGTCCTTTTAAAACCACTGGCCCTGTATAAACCAAAAAAAGACGGAGCTCAGTAGCCTTCCATCATCTAAATTCTGATAATGAACGAGACTTTCTAGAAAACTCTTTTGAAATATACAGTCTCAAAGCTGCCAGTTTTTCTGAAATTACTGAAATAATATTTTGAGACAACCTACTTGAAGGTGGGCCACAAATCCATAAGTTTAAAATTCTTCTGACAACACCCAAACAAATGCAATGCATATAATCTATTGGAAAACCACTTACCATATTATAATTTAGCTTTGAAAAAGGAGATATTGCGTTATGGTGTTCTGAATCATGTTAATTTAAAAAGTCTATAATAGTCCTTAATGGAGCAGATAAGTCTTGTAAAACTATTTTTTGATACCACTAGCCAGGTTGAATACATCGTTCACAACAATTGTATCTATTATGTGTTTTAACGCACTTAACAAATGACCGAGCTGGTGCATCACAAATAACTGCTTCTAACTTTATTTTGAATGCTTTTTTAGTCTTGTCACATATAACACCAACTTCTTGAAAACGTTACATTTCATCAATAAAATCTATTAAATAGTTATCTATAGAATTTGGTTTGCAAGAACTGGAAAATAAAGCAATTGGAAAGACACTCTGTTCAAATTCTAAAAAATAACCTAGAATTGGCCAAAGTAATATATTTGAGTTATTAAACAGCGGAACACCATCAATATTGATATGTAAAGTAAAAACTGAAAGATCTGTTGAAAGAAGAGATTTTTTTAATAGTAAGGAAAGCTAAAATTGCAATCTAATGTAATAATACTCACCACCTGCAACATATTTGGTTTCAATTTTCCTCTTTGTGTGTAGAAGTGATCTAGAATCTTTAGGCAAATCTGATCCATTTTTTCTCAGAACCTGTAGTAAACTGTCTAATGCATTGTGAGATATTTTATAACTGACTGCCCATTTTCCTAGATCCTTGTTTAAGCTTTTTTTGTTTGGGTTTAGTTGCTCTATCTCTTCATTATCAGAATCATCATTGGAACGTGCAAGCCAATCATTATTATCATAAAATTCTGTAGTATTGTTTTTGTTTTGGTGTTCATTCATATTTGAACCTTCATGTGAACTTTCATCTATATTATTGTTCTCCACAAATATTTCATTAACTAATTCGTAACTACTTAAAGAAGCTTCTTCGACAATTTTTTGCACCACCGCAGCAATTTTTCGTTGTTTTGTTCTTTGTGAACTCATGTTTAATAAATGAAATTAAAAAATATATTTTAATTAATTATATACAACTGTATTTAACTTAACTATATTTATTTTGAGGAAAATGCCAGATTTTTGAGTAAGCGCGAAAATTATGGTAATGGGAGGTAAGAGCGAAAAGTTTTAAAGCGAAAGAACGTTAAAGCGAAAAGTTTGAAAGCGAAAACCGGGAAATCGAGTATCGCGATAAGTTCAACAGCAACAACAACTGAAATTTATTGAAATTTTTTGTGATTTTGTTATTATCTCAATGTTATATTATAGATTATTTAGCGTTTGGATTTTTTTTTTTTTTTAAACTGTTAATATTTTTATAATTATAAGTTAGTTATAGTTTAGAATTATTTATTTGATATTCTAGCTGAGAGTTATAGTTACAGTTAGAGTTTATTAGATTAAATAAATAAAAAAAACTTATTGTATATAGTTTAGAGTTTAAGTATATAGTTTTAGTATAGAATTAAATGCATATAGTTTAGAATTATTTATTCATTTGGTATTCTAGCTGAGACTTGAGTTACATTGCGACAAAAAGGTATAAAATCTTGCATAAAAATTATAATTGCACTACAAGTTAATAAGTTATAGATAAAAAAAAAGATTTGCATAAGTTCTTATTGATATTATTTAATTTTAATTTGTTTTTTGAAATTTATGCATTAGATTTCAAGCAAAAAATTGTTTTAATGTTTAAATAAAAATTATTTATAAAATTAGAAAGATACGAATTTATAATGTTCTTTTGTTTTGATTAGGTATGGCCAGTTAGGCTGTCTACCCCTGATACTTTTAGAAATGATGAGATAGTTAAACCTCAAGAATTGGTGTTAAAATTTTGAGTCATAAACTAAAAGCCAGGGCAAATATATCAACACAACATATTTGAAAACGAGACATATAAAGGTTAGTTTTTAATATAAATTATTATCTAGTAGATAATAATATCTACAAATATTACTATTTATGTAAATTAAGGCAAGCTTTTATCAATAAACAACTCTTGAAATATAAATGCTTAATTGGTGGTGTGCAAAGACCTTTTGCTTAAAACAATTGTGCTAAATTTCAGTCTTTGAATATATTGTCAACTTATGATACAATATTAAATTTAAAAGTATACATCAATTCAAACATAACTCATAACTAGCGTCTCTTGTGTCATCTACTAAAACTCACTATTGTGTTACTCATCATTCAATAAAGGCTAATCCTTTAATATGACTGTTCCTAAGTGCCCAAAAAGTTCTAATCTGTTTTTTCGTGAAACTTTTTTTTCACTTGCGTTAGCTTGTTTGTTTTTTTTCATATAACTCGCAATCTATTAATTTTTTCTGTTAGTTGTTATTTTACTTTATAAATTTCATCTTTTCTCTAATAGTAGATGCTTGCAGTCTAGTTGGAAATTAAAATGTTTAAAAAAAAACATTTACAATAAAAGCACTCCAATATATTGTAATAGCTGGGATGTTATGCATTTTACACTTTTTTTTGTGTAACAAAATTCTTTTTTTAGTAATAAAAAAGTTACCAATACAATAAACTTAATAAATGATATAAAATTCCCAAAGAAGTAAACTTAAATTAGATTCATATAGAGCCAGCAGTCATTTTCGTTTTAAAAACTATTTTATCTAGTTTAAAAACAACATAACAGTATACTGAACATTAAGTAAATAAGATAATTAAGGCTATTACAAACCAATCTGTAGACAAAATTATAAAATATTTGTGCTAAGTAATACAAATGTAGAAATAAAAACTTTACTATACTGAGCTCACAAACAATTCATATCATAAATAATAACAAATCATGTAATTAAAACATAAAAAGTAAATAAGTTTCTCACTAATCAATCATCACCATTGAAACTTTTTAAACTAATTAGCCAATTAGTCTTTTTCACAAATAATGACTGAATTTTTAATTTTACATGCAAACAATCCAAAAAACATTATGCAGAATAATTTTTGGGATATTGACATGTTTTTATATTTCAATAAAATGTAGAACTGCCTTCAAAAAATCTTTTAGGCATCAACCAAGAAGATTCACACAGTTATTAATTAAATCATACTCTTAAATTGTTCTAAAAAAAAAAAAACACATTACAAAATAAGAAAGTAGTTAAAAATAAAATAATCTTCTACTACCTCTTCTAAAATGAACAATAAATTATTTTGATAAAAATGTTGCAGAAATTCAACACGTGGGAAAAAAAAGGACACTGTACAGCTTTCTGTTTACAGAACAAATCAAATCAAAACAACATCATAAAAAAATTGTAGCAAAATAAAATACCTAAAAGTTGAAACAACATATTCCAAGTGTAACAACATCGATCAAGATAATGCCATACATAATGGTCACAATATAAGTATCTTTATTATAGAGACTTATATTGTGATTTTTGACTAATAGACTATAAGTCAAATTTCAGGCAAATGCACCATATAAAAGCCATTTTTGTCATATAAATAATGTCATTAAGTCATATTTAAATACAACATATAAAAGTCATTTTTGACACAGGCTTTAACTTAAAAGCTTAAAGTTTAAGCTATAATTCATATTTCTAAAGTGAATGTCTGATAACAATTATTAAAATTATTTTAAACACAAATATTAAAATACTCACTTTGCCTTGCAGATAATTAAACAGTAAATATAACTGGCCGATATGCTGGCACATAAAAGAGAACCACTTCTAACTAACTAAATTTTTTATGCGAAAACAACTAATTTTCCCTATTATAATTGGTATACACACTTTTACGCTTTGTTTTGGAGCAAAATTCTAAACAATTCAATTTTGCCCTACTCAATTTTCTATAAAGTATAAACTTTTAAAGTTTATAATAAACTTCATGAACTTATTTCTGAAATTGACTCACTTCAATTGTAACAACTTTAAGATGACACAATTCAATGAAAAAGAATAATAGGTTAACTCGTATATATTTATATAAAAATAATAATGTTACCAATGTTATTAAAATGTTATTAAGATGTTACCAATGTTATTAAGACGTTATTAAATCTTAATAACATCTTAATTTAAGATGTTACCAATGTTATTAAAAAAATTTTCTCGCTTAACCAATCGCATTCGCTTTTAACTTTTTCGCTTTCAAAATTTTCGCTCTTAAAAGCTTCGCTTTAGAGACACCGAACCAAAATTATGAAGTCAGTTTAAGAAAATTTCGCATGGTTGCGCGCGCATCCGGGACCAAGATGAAGGGACCCAGATGAACCCCATGAAAAAATACCAGATTTAGCCCGTACCGCTTGCTGGGGTCAGAAAAGTATTGTACTGATGCTTAAATGTTTTAAAACCGCCTTATCTACATTAAGTGACAAGATGACATAGGTCCTCCCCAAATTCTTGATAAAAAATTTAATACAATCAATTCAAATTGTTAGGATTTAAAGAGGCATTTACTCTAGTAAGTATTTTATAATGATATCAATGCTAACAACATAAGGAAGGGGGGGGGGTGTTGTTAGCAAATTATGATCCTCCCCCAATATTAATTATTTATTATTAACACACACCCCTCCTTCTGTAAGTTCCTTCATTTTTAGAATTTTCAAAAGGACTTTTTTTTTAAGAAAGTTCTAAATATAGAAGACCTTTTTTAAAAATTGATGATTGTACCCCCCCCCCCCCACACATTTTGTCAGCTTTGGATATAATAGTATTTTAATTATTTATACTGATATTTTGAGTATTTCTAAAAAGGGTAGAACGGGGCTAGTTGAGCATCTTTTACTAAATGTAATAGATCTCATAAACGGTGCGTCAGATTTACATAATTTTTTCAATATTTGTAAGATAATTTGTAATTAACCTGCTAAAAATTTGTTAAAAAAAAAGGATGGATGATACGAAACTTGGGTGAATCATCAATAAAATTTTCACTAATAGTTAGCGTGTGTGAATATCGATAAGCTGCGCAAGAAACTTAATCGTAAAAATGGTCTGCTTTCAGTAATTCGACATTATGTCGATAAAGTTACTCTTTTAAATATTTACTATGCATTATTTTCATCTCATCTTAGTTATTTTTGTCAAGTTTGGGGTCAAACTAGCAACTCTCATATTAACAAACTAATATCATCTCAACGCCAATCTATTAGAATAATAATTTTTCAACCTTTCAAATCAGATAAATCAGATTCTTTTTAAAAACTTAAAATTCCAACCTTTCATTTGCTAGTAAATTTAATTACTAATCTTGTTTTTGTTTTTAACTCTCTAAATAAAAATTTACCTTCTTCTATCGCAAACTTTTTTATAGAAAGTAGACTTATTCACACACACTCTACGTGAAATATAAATAAGGGAAAACTTATTGTACCATCATATGAAACTCAAAAGTACGGTAAGAATTCTGTTGTGTATCAGTGCATCTGTAAATGGAACAAGAGTCTTGTGTGCATTGTGAATGAGTTCAATAAACTCCAACTCCAAACTCCTTTGTCATCTTTTCTTAATCTTAATCAAAATCAATTTAAAAAAATTCTGAAAAATACTTTGCCATAATTTTTTTCTATTACTATAAAAATTATCCTTATTTATTTTGTTGGTTTATTTTTTCTCTTTTATTATTATCTACCTATATGGTTTTTAAAAAGTTTACTTTATGTGTGTCTAAGTTTTATGTTTTATGTCTATATGTTTATTATTAGTCATATTATTTTGAAAAATGGTGTCACTGCTTTGATCAGACTTCTGTATGAGTGACACCATCCATACTAATCATTAACTTATTATAATAAGAAATAACATATCATTTTACTTATTATTATTATAGTAATTATTATTATTTATATATATATTTTTTGTTATTATTATTATTATTGTAGTAAATTATTACTATTGCTTATTATTTTATAATTACTATTGTTATTTTTATTTACCTTATTATTATAAAAATGATTTTAAAATGGAAAATAAATAGCTTGTTGTTGTTGTTGTTGTTGTTGTTGCTGCTGTTGTTGTTGTGTATAATTTATAAAATTTTTGTTTTATAGACTTTAATGACGTAGGTAAAATAATAGAAAAAATAAAATAGTAAGCAAGTGTCATAATATATAAAAATAATATTTTATACAATATCTTGATATATAATTAACAAGAAAAGAAACATTGAAAAAAAAAAAATAAATAATAATAATAATAAAAAAATAATAATAATAATAAAAATAAAAAAAAAGACAAAAGTATTAATATATATATATATATATATATATATATACATATATATATATATATATATATATATATATATATATATATATATATATATATATATATATATATATATATATATATATATATATATATATATATATCGTCGCATGAGAATTAAAGGGTTCTATCTGCCTTGTTTTATGTTGAAAGAATTTAACAACCAAAGTTTTAATTAATAATTAATAATAAAAACAAACCACTTAAAAAATGATATATTATATATCATTTTTTAAGTGGTTTAATATAAAATATGTTAAATAATGAAATATAGATAACATAAACAACTTATAATTTATAATTATAATGAATAACAGCTGTAAAACATGTATTAAATAAATATTGAAAGTTAAGTTCTCGCAACATAAAAAAAGGCAAAAAAGGAAGGAGGCGTGAAATCTCAAGTGATAAGACCGGTAAAGACTTCTTAGAGCACCTAAATAAATGATTCAAAAAAAATAAATAAAGTAAAATAAAAAATACTGTAATAAAGAACAAAAAAAAAGCATAAAAAACAACTTCAAAGCACGGTTTAAAAATTACTAACTTTAAAAATATATATAAATAATGCACCATTGAATTATTTATCATCAAAGTTATTTCTTTATGTTCGATAGTTCAGTTTTTTTTTGTTTTTTTTTGCTGCTCAACTTAGCCCTACTAGACAATGTGAAACATTAGTTAGGTTTTAAAAAAAACAATAAGACTTAAGGTGGTTTAATGGTAAAAACTTTGAAAGCTTTGTTAAAATAGTTAATTTTTAGTTTAATAGCCAATTTTGTATACAATTTAACTGGCTTCAAACATATATAATAAGATATGGTTTTAATAACAAAAAATAGTTAAGAAATTGATTTTATTGATTATGAGTTAAGAAATTTGCTTAGTTACGTCCACAGCAACCAAAATTGTTATTGATATATTTATCTAAGAACCAAATTTTACATAATTTTTGTTTTTGGGCCTGCATGGTTGTTTCCTTATAGATAGAACTGCAATACCTTACTAGAACTAACCCAAACCTTATTTCCATTTGAATATATTTATTTTTTATCCAAGGTTTTTGCATCGATTATAACCTTTAAAAGGAAAAAAACTACCATTTTAAAAATAATTATTACTTTAAGTTTTTCTATTATGATTTTGTTTATTACACTATAATCCATCAGTGTTGTAAGTTTCAGCTTGTAATGTCATAAAAAAAGCTGAGATAATGTAGTTTTCTTTTTAATTGATTTTTTTGGATTTATGGTTGAAATCAATTTTTATTTCAGCATTTTAAATTAAATTAAGCATTATTTAGCTTTGAAACTTTTGATATGTAGAAAAAGTTAAAAGCATTAAAGTCAAAATATTATTTTTTTTACCATATAACCACATATAATCACACACACACACACACACACACACACACACACACACACACACACACACACACACACACACACACACACACACACACACACACACACACACACACACACACACACACACACACACACACATATATATATATATATATATATATATATATATATATATATATATATATATATATATATATATATATATATATATATATATATATATATATATATATTAAGTGATCGCAGACTTATTTGATTTATTTCCAAAAACTCAAAAAAAATCACAGTTGTTTCCATTTTTTAGATAAATTAATTGTCGTATTTCTTTAAAAAACACGCCTTTTTTAAATCACACCTTTTTTAAATCACGCCTTTTTTAAAAATTAAATAAAAAGATTTATTGCTCCTTTTAATTGTGTTATCATTGCATTGTTTTGATAACGTTAAATAGTTTTATAACAGCTTTTAATTGCAAATTGTTTCAAAGTCGAAAAAATCATCCAGTTTATATTTAAATTGTTATGAGTTTTCAAAAACAACAACTTTCTTGTTCGAAGTTTGATATTTTGATTTTCAATCACTCAATATGGTTTCGCTTGAAATATAAGTATGTATCATTTATTTTATTTTACAATTGTAAATGGTCTTGCAAGTTTATTTTTTCTATTTCAAAGAAATCATTTGTGTTCAACGAGGCTTATTCTTGCCCAAAATCACACGAATGCAACGCAAGCCTTGGTGATGATTTTTAAAGAAAACGATGCTGAATGGTTTGCTTTGAATCTTCGACAATATTTGGAAAAGCCATGTCCGTACTTTGAATGGGAGAATGACGATGGATTTGAAGACTACAACTTTTTAATTTTTTCCTCCTCTTGTCTTACCGCGCTGCAAGAAATAGTTTTGCAGTTGATTATAGGTGACAGATTTCACCAAAGTATTAATCAATTTAGAAGTATGGTAATTTTGACAAATATAGATGACAGATCAACAGCTTTTATAATCCATGTTATTTCTCCATATAAAAATATTGTTCATTACGATATAAATTCTGAAAACTATAACTTGATTTATTCCAAAAACTCAGTTCCACTCTATTGCGCTCCTCTCTCAAAGGACTATTTTGATTTCGTTGTAGAAAACTTTAACGTTAGATGTCTTACTTATATACAAATTCTTAGAAACAATGACAAAGATAAGGTAATAGATTTCATCAAAGCGATAAATAAGTATTCTGACTTATGTTTGGTTGAGTACAGCATTAACTCAGGGAATACATCTCTAATGTTATCTGTCGCAGAAGAGATAGCTTTTCATGGTAAAATTACTCATTTGTTTATATTAGTAAATGGAATTCTTTTCTCTGAAGACAATGATTCAACTTTGGATATGATTTTAGAATCATTTAATCGTACGAATGTTAACATTGAAACGCTGTTCATCGAAAACGTGAACTTTGATGACGCCATATGGAATACTAACTATCTAGGCGAGTATCGCTTGTCTCCCACATACTATTCTAATAACATCAGCAACATGCTACTCTACATCAACAATTTAAATTCAAAAAATATGTTAATGAAAAACATTGAAGAATTAATATGTAATTTTTACTCAGGCGACATATGGGACACGCGAGGCACTCTTAGAGACACACGTATAAAAAATCAGTATCGTTTTACGCATTTAATGAGTATTGATGTTCGCCATAAAATACACGTATCAACAAATTTAGAAATATTTTTAGAAGAAAATAAAATAAAAGAATACGGAAGAAAGAGTGACGGTAATAATTGTCCGATTATAAATTGTCCGGCTGGTTTTGAACAAAAACTAAAAACTGGTTTGATCAGCAAGGTGATAAAAAAACATCATAAATATTGTGCCATTTGCCCGGAAAATTATTATAAAGAAACATTTAGTCCAGATGAATGTCAAATTTGTTCAGATGGATATCGTTCTGACAATAACAAAACCTTTTGCTACAATCAATTTACAGAAGAACTTTTAACAAAATATTTTGTTGACGAGTTTTTAACTCGTTTACTTACGACTTTAACTATCTTTATATGTGTTTTATTGAACGCAACTTTTGTACATAAAAGGAAAACAATTGTTGTAAAAACTACTCATTTTACTCTATCTATTATTCAAATTTTTTTTCATTTATTAGTTTCAGTTTGGATACCGTTGTTGTATTATAATGGATTGACGTATGTATCATGCGCATGCCGTCATATAGTTGTTGGTTTTTTATTCACAACAATTTCGTCCATTATTTTTGTAAGAACAAAGAAATATGTCAAAATTTTTAAAAAAATTTATCGCGTTTCAACTCAAGAGAAATTAGTTGCAACATCATTAGATATTGGCACAATTGCAATAATGCTGCTTATTCAAATTATATTGGGAATCATTTTCTTGATTAAATCGCCACCTTCTATTTTGTTAAGTTTAAATTATGAAAAGATGACTAGTACTTTCTATTGTTCAAATGATAATCACCTTGGTGTTCAAGTTCTATATATCACTTTTGCTTTTTTTCTAAGCTCACTTAAAAGTTTTCAAGCCAGAAATCTTCCATCCTACTATAATGAAACATCTACAATTACTTATAGTATGGGATTATCGTGTATTTTGTTGCTCTGCTATTTCCCAATCTACTATGGCAACAACAATAAAAAAATGCAAACTATGGCAATTTCGAATTTACTTTTAATAGTTAATTTGTTAATTGCGGGCTTGATGTTTATGCCTAAACTATTTATCATATATTGCAGACCAGAACAAAACACTAAGCAAAGCCTTCGAACTGAAATAAACGAGTATTCAAAATCAACTTTTGTTGTTCCAAAGTTATAATTGTACCTGTCATCTGTGTCAAAAACAACCATTTTAAACAATCAAAATTAGGAAAACAAGTTACGCAACCTGTATTTACCGGTATAACTTTTATTCTAAAGTCATTAAGTAGAACAATACATATTGTTTTCAAACAAAACAAAATAATTTTATTCTCACGAAGTTAAGTTGTAAAAATGAAAATACCAATTATTCATTTTTGGGGTTATATTAAACTCAGGTTTCTTGAATCTATATCAGTTCGGCATATTTGAGATTTTGAATAAGTCTTAATTATTAAAACTTCCAGTTATGCCAACGGGCACCAACGTCGGCGTAACATAAATACAACGTGTCATGAAATTAATCAACAAACAATGCTATATTCCAATAGTATATTTTGTTTTAAAAACTTGTTATTGTTTTAAAAAACATCTAAAATGTGTCATAAAATTAATCAACAAACAATGCTACATTTTAATAGTATATTTTATTTTAAAAATTTGTAATTGTTTTAAAAAACCTAAAAAATCTTGAACATTGTTTAGTTGATTACACTTGAAACACGGAAACTTTTCTCTAATCAACTAAAAAAGATTTTAATTTTACTTTTTTGGATTATTTTGTAATTACTTAGTAGATTAAATTTCAAATGTAAGAAAGATTTTAATGCTTTAAATGTAATCAGCATAAACGTGTATATCTGTTATTTACGTTTACATGGTCAAGTATATACTCCTAAGCAAAAACCATACCAAAAACTTTGTTTCTTATTTTTCCCATATAGCCAATACTCTTTTTTTTTAATTTATATAGTTTAGTTTATAACCCATAAATTACGTCATGCCAAAGATGGAGAAGGGAATGGGTTAGTGGTTTTGTAACGACTCATCTGGAACTTATTACTAAAGTGTTACGATGTTGTCGCGAGGAGGGGGAGGGTCTAAATTAGTCAAAAATTGCGTCACGTAAAAATGGCGATCCCTTATCGGTAATTTTCATTACCGTTTCGATGTAGGTTTGAAAAAGAATGAATTTCTTGAAAAACGCGTGTCAGTGACATTTATTTATTAAACCACGTACTACTTTTTTTTTAGCTTTATATTTTTAGTTAAAATATTTTCAATGTTGATTTTTGTTATAAAAATAGATGTAGTCAGTCATTTGCTTTTTTTTTTGCGGTAATTTTTATTGAAGAAATAGCGCTGTTTTAATTTTTTATTAAGTTGAAGACCCTGCGAAAGAAAATTTGTTATTTTTTTTTGTTTACTAATCAAGTAAGTACTTATAGAGCAATTATTTAAGAAATTGATAATTCGGCTTCTCTATCTCAAAATTCGTGTTTCATATTAGATATATTAAATGCAAGTTCTCAAAAAAGCTTCCATGTTACATAAAACAAAACTTTTACTTAATAACCAATTTAAAAACTATTTTCTGTTTATAACAAGTTACCTTTATGACAGTAACATCTCCTGAAAAAGTACTCATCACACTTTGTTGATTAAAGTTTATAGTAAACCAAAACATCCTTGCCGTATTTGCCGTATACTTATAGCATACAGAAATGCAGATGGCGAAACTACATGAATTTCTCATGGAAACTTTAAAAGCCTTTTGTTTTTTTAGAAATATTTCTTAAACTTTTGCACAAATTATTCATTACACTATAATGTTATTTGTAATTGAGTTAGTTTGTTTTCGAAAATATTTTGTAAATTCAAAACACAAAATAGTTAAAAAATTAAATTTGTCTTTAAGTAACAAAAAACGTCGATAAGCTTGAATAAAGTTAATCCATTTTTTTTTGCCTTATAAAGTTATTTAAATTGTAAAACATATTATAAATACAGAAGTCAGGGGGCATAAATAAGACATTTTTAGTTAAGTAATTCAATTAAATTAAGTAATTCAAGAAACTGAGGTTTCATTTTTTTAAATATACTTGAAAAAAACCACTTTTAAATTTTGTTGAGCTAAATATTGAATTTATGTTTATTACAATTATAAAAAGCATTTTTTTTGTTTTTGATATTTTTAAAAATGAAACATATTATCTTTTCAGTTTGCACAAGAATAGCTCGAGAGTTGACATTTCAATTTTGGCATATTGTATATTCTGCCTTTTTTTAATAATCAGGTTTGATTCAGAAGTTGAATAAGGGGCCCATTTTAGGTTACATCCAGAGTAAAACGGGCCCCTAGCATTTCAGTGTTCAACTGTTATTTCTTAATGTAAGGCATAGCCACACCTTTATTTTTTTAATATTAAATTGTAGAGCATAGATTGAATTTCCTGAAAAATACTTTGTTTTTAATTTTAGTTTTGTTATAGCTAGCTGATTCTATCATTTTTTGAAAAAGGGGCTCATTTTAGGTCACTTTCCCCTAGTTAACCTTCGAAGTTAAATACGATATACAAAATAAAAAATCAAGCAAGCCGCTTAAAGTTAAATGCCAACAAATAGACTAATAGCTCTAATTCTAAGTTAATATGACAGAGATATGTGAATTTAACTCCAGAAGGATGAGTTTTAAGTGTACCTAAATAAAGTTAAAATTACAACAGATGTATACTTTATTTATTAGAGTAACCTTGCATTTATACAAAAATAGAACTCTTTATAAATAATTATATTTCATAAATAAGCAGTTATAATTGTAAGAATTTGTATGAGTTACAACTTTAATAAAGAATTGCCCTGATTGCACCATAAAGATTTTATAACTTGATAACTAATCATCACTATGTACCTATATTTTTATCAAAGTCATATAATTTGAGTAACATTCGAATTAAATGCTTTTTATTTTGATAATCTGTAATAAATTTTAGGATAAGATACACATCGCCACAAAATGAT